TTAAAAGATGTTATTCTTTATTCTTCACCCACTACTTTCCTACATTTCAAACGTCACCATTCTGCTACTCAAAATAAATAAAGAAATTTGAATTACTATCTTTGTTTATATCAAGAAATTTTTTTTTTTTTATTAATTCATATTAACAGTCAACGCAATGTTGACTTGATTTAAGTTTTGGTTGACTTTAGCTTAGGTTAGGTCTAGTCAAAGTCATGAAAATTTATATTATAATCTTTGGAAGCCAAAAAATAACAAAAAATAAAAAAAAAAAAATTAAAAGAAGGTTTTGCTCAAGGTCTAATTAACACATTTACTCAAAATTTTGCTTCTCATGAATTTATTCAAATATGAAAGTATTGCGTTATTGTATTCTTTTTTCTCAGGTTCTTGATATTTTATTATTTTCTTTGCTTAAAGTTTTATGGTTTTTTAAAGTTTTTACTAGTTGTTTAGCAAAAAATGACGGAGCCGTGAAGGCCCCCCCTCAACAAAAATCCTGGATCCGCCACTGGCTTCAACGATGGCAAATAGTGTGGCTTCAACGGCGGTAGATATGGTGTTTCTCTGTTCAGTGTTTCTTATGCAAATTCTAAAATCCCTAAACAAAATGGGAAGAAGTTGACGTTTTAAAATTTTTACAACGATATGGATGCTAGTCCATCTCATGTGGACGGCCGTCCATATAAAATGGACGACCATCCATATAAAATGGACGACTGTCCACATAAGATGGACTAGCATCCATCTAATTTTTTGTTTTCATTTTTAAAAAAAAAAAAAAATTGTATTGCTTATGGACGCCAGTCCATCTATTATGGACGAACGAACGACCATTCATACTAGATGGACTGGCGTCCATCCAATGTTTTGTTTTTATTTTTTATAAAAAATATTTTAACACTAAATGGATGCTAGTCTATCTATTAACAGCCGTTCATTTTCAGGGACGACCGTCCATATTAGATGAATAGACGTCCATCTAGTGTGCTTATTTGGACGGTTGTCCATATAATTTGGACGGCCGTTTATATTAAAGGGACGTCCGTCCCTAGTATTTGGATGGTGGTTCATTGATTTTTAGTTTATTTTTAAATATTTGTTATGGATCGTCATCCATTCCTGAATGAATGGCCGTCTACGAAGTATGGACAACCGTTCGAAAATGTTGGATGGTCGTTTATTTACAAAAGTCTTTTATCGTGTCCTACATGGCGACGCCCGAGTTAGAGGCCACGTATTTTGGTACAACTTTTCGGTACCCATTTCTGGTGTCTATAGCATCGCTGCTTTTTTATTCCTTTAAATGAATAAGAGGAGGTGATCAAGACCTTAGGCAGCACGACACATCTAATTTCGATCTTGCTAACAGGCTACAAAAGGATGTTGGCCTTCCCATTTGAAGTAGGGAAGGGGGACCCCACAGAGAGCTACCTGGCCTCGCCAGCTAGTCTATCCAACAGTCTACTGATTGTCCATTTTTTGTATTTTGCAAGCTTCGAACAAATTTAACTAAAGGAGAGGAAGAGACTTGGAAGAAGAGGAAGGAATGAATTACTGGGTAAATAACTGCATATCTTTATTGAACTCATTCCAACTATATACTATATATAAGTAACAATATTGATCAAGAATAGGAAAGAGAATATCAATCACTATTCACAGTTTATTCACTAACAGATTGACTTGTCCAAGTCCCAACTAATAGACTAACACTGACAAACTTGACCAAATCCCACGTTGCCACTTCCATTTCATGCTACAGTGCGTGCATGACATGCCTTCAAAGTGGTACATATCCTTCCCTCCCACTTAAGGATCCTTGTCCACAAGGATGAAAACAGGATATGACTTGGTAAAGTGCCACCCGTTTTCCCAGGTTACGTATTTTGTTGGAAGGTACGTAGCCACGTATAAACATGAGGTTTCAGTTGAACCCACTCAACTTTTTTTTTTTTTTAAAAGTCATTATATTTTATAAAATTTACAATTTTGACCCCAGTTAGATTCATGTTGACCCTATAAAAATGAATTATTAATTAAGATTTTTTTAACTTTTCTGTCTTCTTCATTTCCTCTCCTTTTCTCACGTATTATTTTTTTTCTTTAGGTTAGATACTTAAGAAAGACTACTCCTTTAGATTACAAGGTATGATGATGCTCATTTTTTTCACTTAAAATTATTTTCTTTTAGCTTTCTTAATTGCTGAAAGATCATGAATTATAAGTTTTTGTTGAGTTTAATAAATAGGTTTGAAATTAAAAGACTAGATTCTTAGATTTTCATGTGAGTTTTGATTTAATCTTATTTATGCTGAGGTATGAGTTAATTAGCTATTGTTTTAGGTTAGTTTTGATAAATTTTGGTTAGTTTTTGAATTAATTTTGAATGGTTTAAAAAATTGATGAAACCTTAAGTTGTAGTGATTTGGGGATTTCATTTAATTTTAATGTAAGAGACAACAACATGCATGAAGAGTGGTGGAAATGAAGATTGAAAGCATGAAAGATTGGATTCAAAAAACTGTTTTCAAATAAAGCTTGGAAAAAGGATTATACCTACTCCTTTGCTTTGGGTTGATGAAGACAAGACTCAAAATGATGAGACCTCCACACTTTAACACCACCTTGAGAGAGTTAGAGAGTGGCCTTGGCTAGGGAGAGAGAGCTTTTTAGTTTTCTTTGAGTGAACAAATTGAATAATGAACTAAAATGCAACCATTTGCATTTATATATATTTGGGCAATCTTGCAATTACTTGTTTTTCAATTCCATGCCCCAATAAAATCTTATTTTAAAAGGTGCCCACAAAATTATTATTTTACCCTTTGAATAATCAATATTATTCAAGGGCCCATGTAAACTAAACTAGTTTACATTAACAACCCATAAATTTACCCTTTTACCCTTTAACTATTAAAAGGTGTTTTTTTTTTTTTTTGTTCATCTTATTTATCTGAACGCTTTAAGATATAATAATTAAACATAATCAATTAGTGCTTGACCATTTTAACCCTTAAAATGCCGCAAACAATTTTCTATGTAACTATTACCGTAGAAATCCCATCATTCCCTCGAAAGGTGCTAGCCCTCTTTGGACAATCATTTCTCTCTCTCATTCTTCTCTAACTTCTCAAGGCTATTGGTGTGACCATGTAAGTCCACCGTGGATTAGCCGTGAGCCGATCCTGGATGAATTCAGAAACCTATCTAGAGGCCCAACGATTATGGTAAACATCTAGCAATGTGCCATAGTCCCTAAACCACAATGAAGAAATACTTCATCGAACCCATTTCAGATCATATGTATCATGCAGGTAAAATCCCTCCATTGATATATCCTTATCAAGCACGGATTCATGGAGCGTCAAAATCCTAAACTCAATCTTCTATCGAATCGTCGATCAATATGTCCGGAACTTGTCATCACAAACTTGCTTTTGTATGACTAATAATAGACTCTGGCCAAAGATTCTGATTTCCGACATTTATCAATGTTCGACTAGGAACTCGAATCCGGATGAGTCAGCGGTACTCATAATCCTATATTTTCGAGTCAACGGATCCCTTCTTGACCATCGTTCGTTTCTGCATATAGACAACGCATGACCAAATAGGCTTTATCATACGAAATATGACTTGTCTCGTACTTATACACCATATGAACCATACACATCCGTATAGGATCCGACCATAATGTCTCAGGTCAAAGGACTACATCGTGCACTGATATAACCAAATGATAAATCATTGACTACATGCATTTTCAAGTGATTTGTCGTTATTCGGTCACATTCGAAAAACAGTTCACCAACCGCTAATCCATACCAATGCCCCAGTGACATGACTATCATCGTCATCTGTACTGATATCAACTCATGATATTTTTCGGAAGCATCCAGTATGTCTACTATGCAATATAGTTGCCCAAATTATATTGCCTCCGTAGGGAACCCTTTTTGATAATTCATTTACCAATTAAATGAATCATCTGGACTATTCAAATACATACTTTATTTTTATTTTAAATGCATGACTGAATAAAGGAAGCAATTTATATATATAAATTGAAAAACTCTTTCTTCTATTATTTATGATATATAGATACAAGACAAAATGCTCTGAAATCGACAACACGAATGGCTTCTAGGGCATACAATAATATACACTAACATTTAATGTATTGGTTAACTGCTTGATATTTAGAGTTGGATTTGATAGGTTTTCATGAGTTTATGAGTTGACTTTGATTAGGTCAGTAGAAATTGTTGGAAAGACTTAAGTTGTGAATTGAATTTGATAAATTAAGTTTGTCATTGGAAAATATTGAAAGAGCATTTTTGCGATGAACATTGTAAAAAATCGACTATGGAATCAAATAGGAGATCAATTGTTAAATGATTGTCTTATTATATATATTGAGAGAGAGATATTTGATAGAATTATTAGTGAAACAATTATCCAACATTTTCAGAATATGAAAAACATCGAAGACAATTTTATAATTGATAATTTAGTATGTATAACTTTTAAAGTTATATATATATTTTTTTATGTTTATTACTTTAGTATATATTTTATTTTAAATTTATCGACTTAGATGTTTTGAACCCACTCACTAAAGGCTACGTCCTTGTCTATTGGTGCACCTTCGCATTTCACCAAGATTTCAAATTTTGGACAGTATTTTCCCTTGTGGATCACATGCCGGTCTAAGACAGCTTCGGATTTTGGAAGGATGGTCAAAGTACTCGAGATAGGAGGAAGTTGGGCAGAAGTAGGAGTGACTGGTCCCAAATTTTTTTGTAACAAACTGACGTGAAGCACATTATGCATTTGAAGGCTAGGAGGCAAAACCAATCTATAAGCCACCAAACCCAATTTCTCAATGACTTGGTATGGACTAAAGAAATGCGAGGCGAGCTTCATCGAGTCCCAAAAGGCCACAGAAGTTTGTCGATAAGGCTGTAGTTTCAAATACACATAATCTCCTACAACGAATGAGGCCTCACACAGGTGTTGGTCTGCTTGACATTTCATCCGATCTTGAGCCAACAGAAGGTTATGCTGTAGCTCATGTAGAATAGTATCTCGGACATGTAGGTTCTTCTACCGCTTGGACGCAAGAAGTGCCCGATACATAAGCCAGAGGACTTGGAGGCGGAATGTCGTAAACAGCTTCCAAGGGTGTCATTTTGGTGGAGGAGTGAGTGGACACATTGTAGCTAAACTCGGTCTAGGGAATCCATTCTAGCCATTAATTTCCATGGTTTTTTATCGGCAAAACATCTTTATCGAACTCGTTCAAACTATATATACAGCCACACAACTGGTAGGAAAAAGTAAAAAGTAACAATAATGCTAAAGAATAGGAAAGAGAATAACAACTACTATTCCACGAGTTTATTTAGATTAAAACAAACTTGATCAAGTCCCAACTAACATACTAATACAAACAAATTTGACCAATTCCCACCGTGGCATGCCTTCAAAGTGGAACATATCACAAGACTTCGGATTGTTCCTTTTTTACAATGAAACGTAGAAAACCTATGAGCACAATATAATGTCAACCAACACGTGAGCATGATTGAAATGGTTTTGAAATTTCAGAACCAAACCTTAACAAACTTTGTACTTTAACTTAAAATGGATAGTTGGATAGTGAAAGTTTCTAAACGATTAGGTTGAGTATTAAATAATTAACAGGAGTCATGATCCAGAGAACATTGAATCTCAAGCAGGTATTAACTAACAGGAGACCTTCCTGGGACATATCTACAGGCATAAACAGAGCGTGGGTGTACTTCCTTGCCTAGTTTCCTATCTCTTTCCATACCATTTCTCCACTCGCGAAGTACTTGCTACTGTTGCAAAATGGGTGAGATAAAGGCGATCGGCGTAGTGGGCCACGGCCAAATGGGCTCGGGAATCGCCCAGCTCGGCGCCATGCACGGCTTGTACGTGTGGCTTCTTGGTTCGGACCTAGATGCCCTGGCTATAGCTACCAAAACTATTTCCAGTTCCATCTAGAATATTGTCTCCAAAGGCCAGCTTTCTCAGGCAAGAATCTTCCTGTTTGGTGTCACTTTTGATGTTTAATTATGGGTTAGGTTTATTTTGTTTGGAAAATTTCATTATTACAATGTAATTGAATGAGGGTTTAGTTAATATGACAGACTAGATTGCTTTTTAACCATTTACTAAAAAAATTAAGCTTAGGTTATGTAAAATATTTAATTCATAATCAGTTTTTAATGAACTTTGTGAACACAAAAGTGTTCTGATTCTGTATATTAACAACTGTAATATGTACTTTACAGAAGGCGGGAACTGATGCTATGAGACTTCCAAGGTGTACTTCAAATTTGGAAGAGCTCCGTTCAGTGGATATTGTGATTGAAGCTATTGTGGAATCCGAAGATGTGAAGAAGAGGCCGTTTGTTGAGCTAGATAAGATTACTAAACCTTCTGCCATTTTTCCATCAAATACAAGTTCCATATCTATTATTCGTCTCGCGTCTGCAACCAACAGACAGCGCCAGGTAATACTCAGAATATCCTATAGAACATTTAGTTAAAAGGCCATTACATGTTTATTTATATTGTTTAAGTTTATTAATGTTTCATACATAATCTAGTATGGGTTTCAGTTTAGAAGTAAACTTGATTTGTTTGGATAATTGAATTGCTTTCACATAATATGTGGTTGTCTTTTTTGACAGTACTATGATATGTATATAATTTTAAGGAACCTGTTTGATCTGTTATTTGCTTGTACTTTTTCTTTCTATTTTTGGTTTTGAGATTATGAACGCTATATAATGTCAATTAACACCTGTACATGATTGATATGGTATTGAGATATGAGAACGAAACCTTAACAAACTTTGGACATTTAAGTTAAAATGGATCGTGAAAGTTTCACTATAATTCGCATATACTAAATTAAAGCTTTTGACAAAAAGAAACGCAAAGAGACCCATGCAAACTAGCACGGCAACATCACTCACTTGCCACATCAATTAATGATTTTTTTTTTCTCCATCGTTTTCATTTTCAATTTCTTCTTCTCCATCGCTCTCTTTTTGCTTCTTATTTTTTTCATCTCCATTGCTCTTTGTTTGATGAAATAGATGGATGAAATCGCTCTCTTTTTTTCCCCTTCTTCTCCATCGTTATGAAATCTTCATTAATTGATGAGAGTTCATTACAAAATCCATTAAAACGCTGAAGAACCAAATCCTGACCGTACCCACCAAAACCTAACCATACCCACCAAAACCATAGCGAGTCCAACACACTGCCACTCTGAATCTTCATTGGCTTGACACCAACTCGCGTCATCAGACACCGAACCACCGACTTCGTGATCCCTTGAATGTTATCTCTGAGAACAGTTTGCAGGATTCGATCCTTTTGAAAGGTCCCTATACTTTGGGCTCTCCGATTTGGGGTAGAGTAAGTTCTATGCCATGCAATCTCAGTTTTTAACTATTTGTTGTTTTAGTTATTTATTAAAAAGACGGCTAAATTCATACCAAAATTAGTGTAATTGAAATAATTGTAATTCTTTAGACTTGAGTTTTTCTTTAGGTTGTCATATTGGTAGTAGTTTAATTTTGGTAATGTTTTGGCTTTTGGTTAGTTTTAATTACTGGGTTTGCTTGTTGGGATTATGTTATGGGTTTCATATTTATTGGGGTTTTTGATATGTTGTCAATTTAATTTATCGTTTTGTTAAAATTGTGTTTTGGGCTACCTATAACTGAGAAATTTCCTGGGTAATCTATTTTGCATTCTACAAAAATTTTCTGTTTTAATTTTTTTAATTTCATTGTCTTTGCCTAAATTTTCCATTCGACATTGCCAATTATACTTTTTCCTCTCTATCGGGCACAAAGTCTGCTTTTTTGAATGAATAAATATAAACATTATTGTGTTACTTGTAAGTTTTCTTTTGTTTGAGATGTAAACTTATCCAAAATGGAAATTTGGGTGGTGCAAAATGTTATGTGGGAATAACTTGGCTTCACTAGATGTGATTAGTCAGAAGGTAGGCTAGTCATTTAGACAATATCAAGAGTGTCTCTCTTTCCGGTATCATCCCAAAAATCTGTTTCTTCATTGTATCTATGTTTCTCTGGAGCATTCGTCAGTTCCTGCGACTTGCAACAATCTCTTATTCAAGGGGTTCGTGCTTTAGATTTCCATATGAACATTTTCTATGGGGCTTGGTTTAGAATCTGTAGCTAGATAACATTGATGAAAGATGCTTGTGTTTTGTGCTTTCTATTGTCTGTCACAATTCATGGAACCTAGCCGACTTTTAACTTGTCTTGAGCCTATTGTCACGACCCGACTATTTCTCTTTGGACTCGTATGGCTTTAGGTGCCAATCTTCCGACGATTGCCTTAAGTTAGCCTTGCTCGTTCATGCTTCTAGTCCTGCAAATAAGAGAACACTCACACAAACTCACTCACAAGAGATGCTAGAAGTGATTTCTTTACTAATGAGAGAAAGCTTTACAATTCTTGGATGGTTTGGCCAAATGAAGGCCTCTCCCTTTTATAGTAGATGAAGCTCATAATGGACAATCTAGATCTCCCGCAATCAACGGTGGAGATTAGCTAACTCCAAACTACCATCTACTAACTACTATCTACCAACTACTGTATTAATTACAAAATTCTAGCATATACAAGAGTATTCCAGAAGGTTTTAGAATGTTGGGGTGACGCATACCAAGTGTTTGATAAAATGCTTGAGAGGAGTCACATTCTCCTCCACCTAATTCGAAGACGTCCTCATCGACTTTTCATGATATTCTTGGACCTTGTCTTTGAATTGCCATAATGCATCTTCGGGTTCCCAGCTAGCTTCACTCTTCAGTAGCCCTTCCATTGAACAAAGTATTTCCGACATGGAGGATGACCCTTTTGTCGAATGACACGATCGGCTAACACACACTCCACCTATTTGTCATAGAACTTGGTGTTGTCAAATGATACCCATTTTGATTCTCCTCTTTACAGGTTGGGAGTTTCACATCCAAAAGACTAACATATTAGGTGGAGGAACTTCTCCCATTTATAAGCCCAAGACCTCCCCAATATGTTTTCGATGTGGGATTCGTTACATTCTCTCACACCTAATCTTGTGATGCCCTAGTCATAGGTGGGGTCCCTTGCTTACCTGTCCACCTTACTCTCGTGTGGACCCCAATCACACATGGACGCCCCTACATGGGCACTTGGCGGGACGTCAAAAGACGGATCAGATCTACTCTAATATCACTTGTCACGAGATAGGAGTTTCACACCCAAAATGCTAACCTATTAGGTGGCGGAACTCTCCCCATTTATAAGCCTAGGACCTGTCCAATATGCTTTAGATATGGGATTCGTTACACTATACACCACTTATGTGATTTAGTCCATAAACCACCATTGGAAACAAGCATGTCTCTGGGCATGTTGTACAAAACTATAGCATTAATCAACATTCAATCTTTCGGTCCTCAGAGCTTTTGTAAACAGCATGGACATTTTAAAATATTAAAAACCAACTAGTATTTGTACTGCAGCCAAGTCGAATGCTAACCGGATGGTTTTTGGAATACTGCGTGGGTTTGATTAGTTTATGAATCTCGTGGTTAACAACAAACTGGAGGTGAATGGCAATGAGAAAATTGGTACAGGGATGGTGGTGAGTTTCTTTGCCTTTTCCTATTGTTTGTAGATGGTTGAACTTCCATTTAAGTAACGAGATTGTAGCAGTATTTTCTAATTGATATCACATTTTTGCTGCAGGTTATTAGAGGAAACAGCGTCGAAGCTATTAGCACATCATTTTCATGTTCATATCTATCCTAGAAGATGTAATTGAAAGAGCACTCTGATGGTGTAAATTTAAAATTGAAATTTCTTGATGTACAGTCATATGCGCACGGGGGATTCATATGTCCTGAAAGCAAGCATGCAAGTTAAAAACTGAAATTGTATACAAAATATTGAACTTCAGACAATATTACTTTACATGATGATGAACCAATTGAAAACTAACAAAAATAGGGAATTTAATTTATTAGAACCGCTCATAACTCACCTTTAATGCATAAGTTTAATATATGATAGATTATTCAGCATCTTGGTATACACAAAAGTGCTACAATGTATTTGTAGAATTAAGTCAGCACAGAAATGTACCAAAATAAAAAAAAAATAAAGAAAAAAGGATTGTATATTATTTGGTTTGCTAGAAAGATAACTTTTTGTAAGCCAGGATTGCGCTCCATGATCAACTGCTATGAAGTGTTGTCTACAATCATTAATCGAAGTCCAGCAAGGAAGCACTCCGAAGAGGAAGATTAAAATAAGTTTACAGCTTTTGGCAATTATTGTATTCAATTCAACAACATAGCAGTTTAGGTTTACACTGTTACACGGGGGCATCGAAAATTAATTAAAATCTTGGTTCAGCAAGCATCATTTGAAGAGACTTAACAACAGTCTTAAGACAGATCTTATCACAATATGAGAAACCTAGCATGACTTACACACACAGAGAAAATTATGATAGAATCAGATCAAGCATAAACAATATTGAATACATTCTTCTGGTTTTCCATTTCCCTTCACCAGGTCTCAAAATAAAGAAACAAATCAAAAATTGAAGAAAGCATCAATCTGCAATTCAAGTATCAACCTTTTAGAAGCAGTTACAGCCAAACGCCACATCTTTGGTATCCAGCAATCCTGCAATTATATAACAAAAGTTGTGTTATTTATCAATAAATAAAATAAAAATAAGAAAATAGTCAACAAAATTGATAATTTCTAAACTTTTACCTTCAACGTTCTTGCTTTTACAATTTCTTCTCTTTTACTTTACACACAATTTGTTTAACCTTCGATTGTTTTCTTTTGAATGGAAGACGACCTTTGTTAAGAATAACCCGTGAAGTAAGAATATTTCTACGCCCCTCTTTAGAAGTACTAGCAAGATCTTCACAATTCGTTCTACTCTTAGCTGACATGTTTAGTTTTTTATCAATCCCGCCAACATTTTCATTTGACATCAACTTGTTCATCATATCATTAATCATTTCTATCACCGTATTATAATCATCCTAATTGTTTGATGCCAAATCTGCTACAATGCTGAATAAATTACACAATTAATCAAATCGTTGTCCTTCAAGATTGATGCTCCAACCATTATAACTCATCTTAACCTTGGTATAATAGCTGTTTATATTTTTCCTCCATCGTCTTAAAATGTACTTTTCTAATACATGAGAAATTTGCTTATAAATCAACACCACAATTACATGTTGACATAAAATTCCTTTGAACTCAAATAATCGACAATTGCAACAAACATCACAAGTTGCTTCATCAAAACATACCATAAAATAAACACAAGGATGAGTCTCTCCAACCATAACAACTTCTTCTACTATAAATTCTGTATAAGAATCAATCTCTTTGAAAGAAGATAAGTCACAATAGAGCTTAGCAGCAACCTTTTGTTGAAACTCTTTGAATTTTGCAGCAAGTATATGCATCTTGAAATTGTTTTTCAATAGCATAAGTGCTTATGCAAGGGATTCCTAATTTGAAAGATTTAAAAGCAACCTCCCTTTCTTTTTCCACTTTATCACGCAATGCATTCTCATAT